GACTTGATGTTCAAGCACCGACATGACATTCACGACTGGATCCTCGACGAGTGTCGGCGGTATGAAGGACGTCCATGGGCCCTCACCGCCCTTGGTCGCCCGACGAGCATCGTTCTCTCCAACGTCGAGGCGTTCGAGGACGTTTTCCATCGTAAGTTCGACAAGTTCGGCAAGTGTAGTGCCTGGCTAGTAAGTGACGTGTTTGGCGACGGCATCTTCGCAGCTGACGGGGTGTCGTGGATTCATCAACGCAAGACAGCGAGTCACCTCTTTTCGCTGCACATGATGCGAGAAAGCATGGAGCAAGTAGTGCGAGAGCAAGCTGCCGTTCTGTGTGAAACACTGGAAGCACATTCCACTGCCAACAAGCCCGCCAATCTCAAGTATACAATGGATTGGTACGCCACCAATGTCTTCACCCGCGTGGGCTTCGGTGTCGATCTGCAGTCGCTATCGAGTCAGGAACACGACGAGTTCTTCCGTGCCTTCACCCGCCTTCCTATTGCTGTCCATCGTCGCATTCAACAACCAGGATGGCTGTGGAGATTTAAGCGGGCGTTCAATCTGGGTTACGAGAAGCAGCTGAGACTCGACATGAAGCGTGTGGATGGTGTCATCTACCAAGTCATCTCGCAGTCCATGGAGTCAAAGACCAACGTCAATAACTCGCAGCGTCTTCCCGACTTGATTTCACTATTCCTTGCCAAAGAAACCAACGAGTATCGACACCAACAAGACGGCTCTACCACTCATAGTGTCAAGACTCCGCCCAAATTGATTCGAGATATGGCGTTCAACTTCACCGCAGCAGGTCGAGGAACCACGTCGCAGAGTTTGCAATGGTTCTTCATCATGATGAGTCGATATCCCCATGTTGAGAAGAAGATCCGAGAAGAATTGCTGACCAAGCTGCCTCATCTTTTTGACAAGAGTAGTAAGCCTCCAACCATGAGCGGCGTGCAGCAGCTTATCTACCTGGAAGCGGCCATCAAGGAAAGTCTCCGACTGAACCCGGTAGCTCCACTCATCGGTCGCACTGCTACTCAAGACGTTCACTTCAGTGACGGGACGTTTATCCCAACTGGGACGCGTGTGGTCATTCCGACATTCGCTGTCGCTCGGCTGCAGTCCATTTGGGGTGAAGACGCAGCCGAGTTCAAGCCCGAACGCTGGCTTGATCCTCACTCTGGCAAGCTTCTGGTCGTATCAACGTTTAAGTTCTTGGTGTTTCTGGCGGGACCAAGATCGTGTCTGGGAGCCAAGCTGGCCATGCTCGAGCTCAAGGTCGCTCTGGCGACGGTGCTGAGTAAATTTCACCTTCGGGTGATGCGAAATCCATTCGAAATTGGCTACGACGCGTCCATTTCATTGCCAGTCAAGGGCGACGTGCTCGCTGTCGTGGAAGCCGTTGAAGTACCAGGTCCGTGCGAACCTGCTCAGAAGGGATTCGCTGGTGCTGCTTAGTCATGATGACGCATTCTTCTTTGTCACTGTAAACCTGCACAAAGTCCACTGATGCATTCTGTCCACAGAGAAACACAACTGACATGTCACTATCAAAACATTCATCATTAAATGTGTACCTTTGCACTCATCAACATTTCTATGCTCTCCATTATTTACCACATAAATCGCGCAGTTGATCCATCGACCCAGGTATACGGGTGGTACAGGAAGATGTACAGCGTTAACGCATTGACAGCCATGTATACAGCCGTCACTATCCA